AAAGGACTACCGCTAGATGGATTCAGAGATTGCTGACCAACTGCACTCAGGAGATAGTCCTCAATGGAACTACATCTGCATGGAGAGAAGCATGCAACAGGTTACCTCAAGGTCCAGTTTTGTTAAGTTTAATTGACCCGTATCTCACTGCAGGGCTACTCTAAAGTGGCTTCAACAATAAAAAGGAAGAAATGAAAAGAATGCAAACAAAACAGAAATAAAACAATAAAATAAACAATGAAAAAGAACATAATGTAACTACATCAACATGATATCCAAAAAGATGGGTGGGAAGAGGGGGGGGGGGCTTGAGTTGCCATCGATCCAGTAGCCACTTCCAGTATGGAATTACCTCATGCTTGTTGTGGTCTACTTTGTCAAATGTCTTACTGAAATCCAAGTATACTATGTCCACTGTATTTCACTGATGCACTAATTTAGTTATTTTATCAAAAAAGCAATACAGTTTGTCTGGCATGATCTGTTTTTAACAAACCCATGCAGGGTTCTAGAATTATCTTGCTGTTTCTATGTATAAATCCCCTGCTTGATTGTCTTTTCCAAGATTTTTCCAGGTGTTGATGTCAGGCTGATTGGCCTATAATTTCCTAGATCCCTTTTTTTCACCTTTTGTAGAACATTTTCCTCAATGAATAAATAAACAGCAACCAGGCACATTAGAATTCAGTATAATGCAGACCCACGCTTTGGAACAAACAACTGTGTTAGACTTTAAAAGAGTTATTTAAACAAACTTAAATTCTAAAAAATACAATTATAAAGGTCCAGTCACAATACCAGTGAAAAAGAAAAATAAGAAATCCAAGAGGAAACCAAGTGGTTTCACAAAGAACTCTCGGATAAACCGAAAGACAAAAAAGGATAAGTATAAAAAATGGAAAAAGGGACATCTAACTAAATCTAACTAAGGCAGAATGCCAGCATATAGTCCGAATCTACAAAGATGAAGTTAGGAAAGCTAAGGCTCAGAATGAACTCAGACTTGCATCAAATGTCAAAAATAATTAAAAATGTTTCTTTCAATATATAAAAAGCAAGAAACAAAATCAAAGAAACAATCAGTTCACTAATGGAAGAAAATGGCAAAGAGGTGCCAGAAGCAAGGAGAAAGCAGAGCTATTTCATTATTTCTTTGCATTTGCTTCATGCAAAAAGAAACTATAGCCCAACCTACCAAAAACAGAACTGTAAAAGACAGACTAAGAATTCAAATTAAAATAGGCAAGAAAATGGTAAGAGAACACCTGTCTATTTTAGATTATTTCAAATCTCAAGGATCTGATGGATTATATCCCAGAGTTCTGAAGGAACTGGCAGACGTGATCTCGGAACCACTGAACTATATCTTTCAAAAGATCCTGGGCACCGGGGTACTACCAGAGGAACTGGAAAAGAGCTGATGTGGTCCCCATCTTTAAAAAAAGGGAGGGGAAAACAGATTCAGGAGCTACAGATCAATCAGCCTGACATCAATACCTGGGAAGAACATGGAGAAGATAATCAAGTGAACACCTAGAAGCAAGCAAAGTTATAACCAGAAACCAACATGAGTTTGTCAAAAACAGATCATGTCAAACAAATCTTATTTCATTCCTTGACAAAGTGACTAATTAATGGACCAGCAAAATATTGTGGACATAGTATATTTGGAGTTCAGTAAAGCTTTTAGACCACGACCTACTTTTTGCTAAGCTAGAAAAAGGTGGGATAGACAACATCACCCCCAGATGAATTTGTAACTGGCTGACAAACTG